AAATTTTTTTGCTGAATTGAACTCTATCGTGTTAAGCTACTAAGATGAATAAGATAAATTCTACTTAGATTCTAAAACAAAATACATGGTTTGATGAGGTGAAGATTTTCTGGGAAAAAATAGTGTAGCTGATTTATACTACCTATTGTAAATGATACTGCCAGCTTATTTAGTTTTTTTAACCTCTAGGAATAAGATTATTTTGATAAATTATTCATATTTCTGCATTGTTCACCTGTTTCAATTTGCATATCTGGCAGCAAATAGGTCCTTCTTTCAGGCTTAAGTCCCCTTGGTCAGACAGGATGGCCGAAGGCTGCTTCATGATTAATTTTGTCTCAATAGGGTAATTATCATACTGAAATGAGGTAAGGCACCTGAAATATGCTTTCCTGGAGCAAGAAGTACAAGAGGCTTAGCTTATGAGCTTCTGAGGTGTACAGTAACTTTCAAATATTAATGCTCTTCTATTCTGAGAGTACACACATCCAAAGGTAATAATGCATTTTATATGAATAGAACACAATAACTTAGAGCCTGTTGTAGCAGCTCATTGGTTTGCCAGATAATTTGTCATTAGTTGCTAGTATCTTATTTAAAAAGATATATGTGTTTTGGTTTTCCCATAATTTTTTCATCTACAGACAGGCTAAATATCTGGTAATATTGCATTATTAGCAAGATATTTCTAAAACAAAATGTTTCAATTTCTTCTTTGAAAAAGAGTGGGAAAGGGGAGGGTTGCAGGTGGGAGGGACGTTATGGGGGGAAGCCATTGTAATCCATAAGCTGTACTTTGGAAATTTATATTCATTAAATAAAAGTTAAAAAAAAAAGAATCTTGATTCTGGGATCACTATTTTTAATGATTCACAACACACTAGTGAACTATTTTTGTTTTTGTTTTTTGTTGTTTTTTGATGAGCCAAGCATTAGGGAGAACTCAGAGAGGGAATTGAGATAGAACAGAAAAAAGAGCCCATAGGAAATAAGCATAAAACATGGTCATTCAATGTGCACACAGCCGGCAAAAGACAGATTAGGGTGACAATGTGACTCTGCTAAGAACTGATGAATCTGTCCAGGCACTCAAATGGGGGACTCCGGGAAATCAGGAACATGTTTCTCAACTTAACCATCAAGGAAAAAGCTGACAGAGAAACTGAATGGTCAGTGGGAGGAGTAATATGGTTCCAAGAAAACCATTTATAATTCACAAATATACCAAATGGTCCATAGAATTTTATGTGTGGCTTAATTGTGTAAGATAAATGACATAAGAGGATATAAAGCAAAAGGAGAAGACAAAAAAAAATCAGCTGCAAAATTCTAAGGTTGTTCACCAATAGAAAAAATCCTAAAATAGTTTTAAAATGTAGTCACAGACTACAATTCTTTAATATGATGAGATCCCCAAAGAGTGAGACATTTGAGCATTCCAGAGCTCTTTGTTGATCTTTTCTGTGTACATATTCTTTTCTTCCTCATAACCATTTTTAAGAACTAAGTATTAAATAAGGGGCTATTAAACACTAATTACATAAGAATAGAATTAAAACAATACGCGGAGTTGTATCATGAATATAGTATCTATGTAGACGACTGATTACTAATTGTGTCATCTATTATAGGTTGGAGAAACATGCTAGTTGAAAAAATGAAAATTAATTATAAACAAATCATAGGTCAACAGTATTTAGTTTTGGGTAAAGATAGTTTATTTGAAGAAAAACTAAAATAATAATCACATATATAGAAATAACAATATATATTTATATGATGTAAAATGAAAAAAATGGCTTTTTCATGATTATGATTGTTATAAATGAATAATTATCTCAAAAACAAATGATTAAGCATGAGTTAGAAATTGAATCTCTTGTTTGGCTGAAAAACATGAAATCTTTGCTTATGATTGCTTGTCAAATCATTTTGGTGCAATATTGTTATTTCCTAACTCTAACAAGTATCACAAAGTTAAATAAGCTGCATTTAATCAATGCTGGATAATAATTAAATGAAAGATTTAATATAGATGTATATAAACCACTACTTTTTTTTTCTGCTCATTCATTTTTCCCCAATAGCTTTTATTTAAGGAATACAAATTTCATGCATTTCATAAGTACAACTTTAGAAACATAGTGATTCCTCTTACCATATCCACCCTCCCATCCACACTCCTATCCCTCCCACTCCTCCTTCTCTCTTTCCCAGTTCCATTCTCCACTAATATCTATTTTCATTTAACTTTATACACAAAAGACCAACTCTATACTAAGTAAGAATTCAACACTTTGCATGATAAAAGCAAAGCAAATCAAATCAAATCAAATCAAAACAAAACAAAACAAAAAACTGTCCCACAACAGTCAGACAAAGGCTGTTCAAAGTCATTGCATCTCAAAGTTAATTTCAATTTTTTAGAAACTTTACTAACTTTAAAGAAGCACCCAAGAATGATATATACTTTGCAAGCACTTAGACATAACCATAACTTATGAGACATAATAATATCCTCCACTTAATACTTTAAAATTAAGTCCTTGAGAATGAGTTTTATCATTAATTAAGGAAGCTCCTAAGTAACAAGCAATGGAGTTGGACACTAAGAATCACTAAAACTTATGAGAGATAAAAATTTCCTCCACTTAATAAACTAAAACTAAAAAAAATCTTTTAGAACAAGTTTTACTGTTGACTGTCATAATAAAATTCTCTGAGGACAGAGGTCCTACATGGGAAGTTAGTGCACAGTGACTCCTGTTGTTAATTTAACAATTAGCACTCTTAGTATAACATCAGTGATCATCTGAGGCTACTGACACGAGCTGTCTAGGCTATGGAAGCCTTTTGAATCCTCAAACTCTATCAGTATTTAGACAAGTTCATAAGCAAAGTTAAGTTCTCTCCCCCTTCAGAGAAAAATAACTGCTTTGATGACCACTTCTTTCCACTGGGGTCACACCAACTGAGGTCCTTCTTGCAGGACATTTTTTTTGCCACAGTGTCTTGGCTTTTCATGACTGAAATGTTCTAGTGGGCTTTTCAACAAGACTAGAATGCCTTAAAGGCTTATTCTGAGGTCAGAGTGCTATTTAAAGTGATTGTCATTCTATGAATCTGCTTTGTGGACTGCTTCCCAAGTTGGAACATTCACTCCTTTTTAATTCCATCCATCATAATTACCAGACACTTAATTCTATTTATATGATCACTTTAACACTTAATTCTACCCATATGATCACTTTAACACTGAAGATAGTATTTTTACCACCCAACTTAAGGGGACTTGTGGTCCTATGACAAGTTTTTTAAACTATACACTTAGAGGTAAGTACATAGGGATGTATATAGAACTATACAGCTTTACAGTTATGAACTTCATACACTTCATAATTACAACTTCAGGAACATGGTGACATTTACACCTAATTTAGAACCAATACCTGAAAGTTTCTAATAAAGTGTAAGAAGAATAAATGAACAAAGGTAAATATCTAAAATAAATGACTAAATCTTGCTTTCAATATTATTAAAATTTAATGTTGAAAACAGTAGAAATTGTCCTAAAACAATTGTAAGTGAAATGTGAAATGAGTCATTGTCTTTTGAAATATTTTTATCTACATTATTTTTCATTCTAATTGATTAAACATACATAAATATTTATCACATATATTTCTGTGTTCTGTTTCTTTAAACACAAAATTCAGAATAAAAGGAAAAAAAAAAACAGCCAAAAGTCTGCTAAGAGAGAAAGATTATAAAATGAAGCTTACTCACACCCTTACAATACATGTTGTAGCCCAGGGCCACCTTGACAGTGATGGGCACCTCATCAGTACAAGGACTGACATCTTAGAGTTGAGGCTCCATCTAGAAATTGGTTGTTCTGGGCTTTACTCTCATCTTAGCCAGTGACCTCCAATGAGCCATTTCAGTTGTATCTAAATGCCCTATCCATTTCAAAAGCCTGATAATACAGAAATGATTTATACGGCTGGCACCACGGTCACTAGGCTAATCCTCCGCCTTGCGGCGCTGGCACACCGGGTTCTAGTCCCGGTCGGGGTGCCGGATTCTGTCCCGGTTGCCCCTCTTCCAGGCCAGCTCTCTGCTGTGGCCAGGAAGTGCAGTGGAGGATGGCCCAAGTGCTTGGGCCCTGCACCCCATGGGAAACCAGGAGAAGCACCTGGCTCCTGCCATTGGATCAGTGCGGTGCGCCGGCCGCCGCGCACTGGCCGCGGCAGCCATTGGAGGGTGAACCAACGGCAAAAGGAAGACCTTTCTCTCTGTCTCTCTCTCTCACTGTCCACTCTGCCTGTCCAAAAAAAAAAAAATTATTGATAAGTAATTCTGACATATTCAAATTCAGGTGCCAAATAAACTCTAAGTGATACTTCATGGTCAGTTAAAAGTGAGAAACAATGTTTTTTAAAATCATTATGCTTGGGGTTGGTGCCATGGCTCACTTGGTTAATCCTACAACTGCGGTGCTGGCATCCCCTATGGAAGCTGGGTTCTAGTCCCGGTTGCTCCTCTTCCAGTCCAGCTCTCTGCTGTGGCCCAGGAAGGCAGTGGAGGATGGCCCAAATGCTTGGGCCCCTGCACCCGCATGGGAGACCAGGAAGAAGTATCTGGCTCCTGGCTTCAGATCGGCGCAGCACCAGCCATAATGGCCTTTTGAAGAGTGAAACAATGAATGGAAAACATTTCTCTCTCTCTCTCTCTCTCACTGTCTATAACTCTACCTGTGAAATAAATAAATAAATAAAATTATTGTGCTTTAATTTTGTTCATTTTTTTGGTCTACATAAGCCTTATTCTCCCCCTTCCCTTAATAATGTGCTCATTTCTCTGAAATTCAGAGCACCAAGGACAAAACGTTTTACATTTCATTTTTAAACTGACATTTCTCGTTCACATCATTTTTTGCTGTTAGACTATATTTCTGAAATAGTACTTTGTACTAATTTGTTTATCTTTTTCTTTCTAAGAACCAGGGAAATCTCCTGATACCAAACCAGGGACTGTAAAAGTCACAACACAAGGTAAGCAATAAAACATTTAAAAAAAATGCTTTTAAGTCCATAGCACTTTGCTGACAAAAATGCCAGCTGTTTATTGCAGAATAGCACCATCTGCTGGATTATTACAGAAAACATTCTTGCAGACACACATGTCAGGTACTTCTTAATTGGAGTAAGCTTGATTGAGTAGTGACAAATGTGCAGAGGAATTACTGAAGGACCCAAGAATTAGTATGTGCCTCCAAGTTTCAGTATTTGAACTTACACAAAAGCCAGAGTAAGCCAGAGAAAGAGATGGAGATAGATATGTGCAAATATCAAGTGATACATATATTTTCTAGTGATTTTTAGTTATGCATCATAATTTGTGTCATGTTAGAAAAACATGATGTATTAATATTATTGCATAAAAATGAAAACCCTAAAAATTGGGTTCTAGATATGTCTGCAAAATAATTACACTTGGGGGTGGCTTCAAGATGGTGGAATAGGGAGGGAGCTTACTGGTTGTCCAGGAGAAGATAGTTTATTAAAAGTGGAGATAGTGTAGTCTCAGGGAAGAGTTAGGGAAAAAAACAACAGAGGAAACTCTTCTGTAATCAGAGGGACGTGGTGGACCTAAGTAAAGGGCACAGGCATTCACGGCTCAGGACCCCAGCTGCCAAGAGCCTCTGCACCAGCATTGGAAAGTGAAGTGAGATGAAAATGCAGTAGCCCGAGACACTGGCAGAAAAGTGACAGGAAGAGCATAGAGGGAATGAAGCTTGAAGCTCTGTGGGGGAAAGCACACCAGGCTAACTAGAGGACAGAAAAAATAAAAGGGAAGGTACGGACATGATTCTGTCCCTCCAATCACCTTACCAAGACGTATGAGCCAACAGAGCAGGTGCCATTTTATACATACATAACAGCTGCGCCAGCTTGGGGCTGCATCCAGCAATCAGTTGAGCAGAAAAACGTGACTCTGGTGGGGAGTAAAAACAGGAGACTAAGATCTAGTGAATGTGTGGAGCTTTTGACTGGGACTGTGGGAAAAAAAAAAAAAAAAAAAACTAAGGGTGTGTGGGAGAACTCACAGTGTGGGTGAGACTTTGAGTAGTCTCCGTGGAAGATGCCACAAGGTTGGGCAGCCCTGACTACCTGGTAAGAGACATTGTGGGGAAATCCGAGCTAACACTGAGGACTGCACCGATCCTTTGTGTGGTCCTTGGGACAGAGCAGACGAATATTATACCCACTGGGGCTAGCACTCAGGCACTGGTCACCATCAAGGAAAAGAGCTCAGCTGAGCAGAATTACTTCCCTTCTGATTAAAGAGAGAGAGAGAAAGATTTACCACACCAAACCTGGGTGTGTCACCTTAGGCACAGCCTTAACCCTGAAGAACTGAATAGAATTCTCTGGCCACACCCACCACAAGCCTCTAGACATTCACTGAAAGCAGACAGTCCACTTATCTACCGAAACATAGTACAACAAGAAAAGCCACCATCGTGAGAAAAAATAAAAAAGGAGAAACCAGCTAGTATCTCTACAATGCCAAACAACAAATGCACAAACAAGGAAACAAGAACAAGAAAGACAACATGATGCTCCCAAAAGAACATGACATTTCAATACAAGATTATGAAGACAACAAGATAGAAGAAATGCAAGAAATAGAACTCAAAAAATTTATGATAAGAATATTTAGAAGTAATCAAAAACAAATTCATGAAATACTGAAATCCATGCAGGGCATGAAAGAAAATCTCGCTCATGAAAATGAAATCTTAAAAAGGAATCAAAATGCAATGAGGAATTTAACAAAACATGAAATTGAGATATTGAAGAGAAATCAATATGAAATGAAGAATTCAATAGAACAAATAAAAACACAGCTAAGAGCCTTAAAAACAGAATCAGTGAGGCAGAAGAGAGAATATCGGACATAGAAGACAGAGCACAAGAATGTATACAAACAAACCAAGACAAGAAGAGGAAATTAGAAATCTGAAAAATATTGTCTGTAATCTACAGGATACTATTGAAAAAACCAACATTCTGGTTCTAGGAGTTCCTGAAGGCATGGATAGAGAGAAAGGATTAGAAGGCCTTTTTAGTGAGATACTAGCAGAAAACTTCCCGGGTTTGGAGAAGGACAGAGACATCCAAGTACAGGAAGCACACAGAACTCCCAATAAACATGACCAGAAGAGATCCTCACCAGAACACATTGTAATGAAACTCACCACAGTCAAACATAAAGAAAAAATTCTAAAATGTGCGAGAGAGAAATGCCAGATCACTCTCAGAGGATCTCCAATTAGACTCACAGCTGACTTCTCATTAGAAACCCTACAGGCTAGGATGGGATGGTGAGATATAGCCCAAGTACTAAGAGAAAAAAAGCTGCCATCCCAGAATATTATATCCTGCAAAGCTCTCATTTGTGAGTGAAGGTGGAATAAAGACCTTTCATAGCAAACAGAAATTGAAAGAATTTGTCACCATTCGTCCAGCCCTGCAAAAGATGCTCAAAGATGTGTTATACACAGAAAAACAGAAACATGGCCATCAATAAAAAAGAAAGTAAAAGAAGAAAATCACTCAGTAAAAGATCACAGGAAGTATATATTAGAAATATCTTTGGAAAAATGGCAGGGCAAATTCATTACTTATCAACAGTCACATAGAATGTAAATGCCCTCAACTCTCAAGTTAAAAGACACAGACTGCCTGAATGGATTAAAAAACAAAACCAATCTATTTGCTGCTTACAAGAAACACATCTTTCCAATAATGATGCAAGCAGACTGAAAGTGAAAGTTTGGAAAAATATATTTCATGCCAACAGAAACCAAAAAAGAGCTGGTGCAGCCTTCTTAATATCAGACAAAATAAACTTTAACACAAAAACTGTCAAGGGAGAGAAAGAGGGGCACTATATAATGATTAAGGGATTGATTAAACAAGAAGATGTAACTATTATAAATGTATATGCACATAATTACAGGCACTGGTCTATTTAAAAAATATGATAAGGAACTTAAAGGGAGACTTAGACTCCAATATAACAGTACTCCAGTTTCAGCAATGGACAGATCAACCAGTCAGAAAATAAAAATGGTAACAGCAGATTTAATCAACACCACAGACCAAATGATCTAACAGATATCTATAGAACTTTTCGTCCTACACTGAAAGAATAAATAAAAAGAGTCATCAGAAATTAATACAAAGAGTTGTATGCCAGCAAACTGAGAAATCTATCAGAAATGGATAGATTCCTGGACACATACAACCTACCTAAATTGAACCATGAAGACATAGAAAACCTAAACAGACCTATAACTGAGACAGAAACTGAATCAGTAATAAAGGCCCTCCCAACAAAGAAAAGCCTTGCATTGGATGGATTCACTGATGATTTCTACCAGACATTTAAAGAAGAACTAACTCCAATTCTCCTCCAACTATTCAGAACAATCAAAAAAGAGGGAATCCTCCCAAATTCTTTCTATGAAGAATGAAACAACACATCAGAAAGATCATCCACCCAGACCAAGTGGGATTTATCCCTGGCATGCAGGGATGGTTCAGTGTTCGCAAATCAATGTGTTAATGTGACACCACATTAACAAACAGCAGAAGAAAACCCATGATTATCTCAATAGATGCAGAGAAACCATTTGATAAAATATACACCTTTTCATGATGAAAACTCTAAGCAAACTGGGTATACAAGAAACATTCTTAAACACAATAAAGGCAATTTATGAAAAGTCCATAGCCAGCATCCTATTGAATGGGGAAAAGTTGGAAGCATTTCCACTGAGATCTGGTACTAGACAGGGATGCCCACTCTTAACCACTGCTATCCAATATAGTTCTGGAAGTTTTAGCCAGAACTATTAGGCAAGAATAAGAAATTAAAGGGATACAAATTGGGAAAGAAGAAGTCAAACTAGTCAAACTATCCCTCTTTGCAGATGATATGATTCATTATTTAGGGCATCCAAAGAACTCTATTAAGAGACTATTGGAACTCATAAAAGAGTTTGGCAAAGAACAAGGATATAAAATCAATGCACAAAAATCAACAGCCTTTGTATATACAGGCAATGCCATGGCTGAGAAAGAACTTCTAAGATCAATCCCATTCACAATAGCCACAAAACCATCAAATACCTTGGAATAAACTTAACCAAGGACATCAAAGATCTCTACGATGAGAGTTACAAAATCTTGAAGAAAGAAATAGAAGAGGATACCAAAACATGGAAAAATCTTCCATGTTCATGGATTGAACAATTAATATCATCAAAATGTCATTTCTTCCAAAAGCAATTTATAGATTAAATGTGATACCAATCAAAATACCAAAGAAATTCTTCTCAGATCTGGAAAAAAATGATGGTGAAATTCATATTGAGGTACAGAAGATCTAGAGTAGCTAAAGCAATCTTTTTTTTTTTTTTTTTTTTTTTTTTTTTTTTGACAGGCAGAGTAGACAGCAAGAGAGAGAGACAGAGAGAAAGGTCTTCCTTTTGCCGTTGGTTCACTCTCCAATGGCCGCCGCGGCCGGCGCGCGGCGGCCGGCGCATCGTGCTGATCCGAAGCCAGGAGCCAGGTGCTTCTCCTGGTCTCCCATGGGGTGCAGGGCCCAAGGACTTGGGCCATCTTCTACTGCATTCCCGGGCCATAGCAGAGAGCTGGCCTGGAAGAGGGGCAACTGGGACAGAATCCAGTGCCCCGACCTGGACTAGCACCCGGTGTGCCAGCACCGCAAGGCGGAGGATTAGCCTATTGAGCCACGGCGCCGGCGACTAAAGCAATCTTGTACAACAAAAGCAAAGCCAGAGGCATCACAATACCAGGTTTCAGGACATACTACAGGGCAGTTATAATCAAAACTCCATGGTACTGTTACAGAAACGGATGGGTAGACCAATGGAACAGAATAGAAACACCAGAAATCAATCCAAACATCTACAGGCAACTTATATTTTTTCAAGGATTAAAACAAATTCCTGCATTCCTTGCATTTAAATTGTATTTATGTATGGAGTATCACGTGGTATTTTGATGCAGTTGTACATTGTGTAATCTCAATCAGATTAAATATATCTATCTTATCAAACAGTTAACATTTCCCTATGACAAAAATATTAAAAATCTGATTTAAACTTTTTTCTTTTTATAGGAAAATACATAGTACATTAATATTACCTGTAATCATCCAATTGTGCAGTATAACAACAGAACTTCTTATCCCTATCTATTTATATCTTAGTAACAGTTAGTCAACCGTTCCTCGTCCTTCCCTTCTTCCTACTCTTATAAGTATCCTTGTAATTATTATATGCGTAGATATATTTCTAAATTCAAAATGTTATAAATACAGATTATCTATAAATTTTCAGTATTATTAGTTTAAGCATATTAAAAAAGAACATGTCACAAATAGTAGTATTTTGTTTGTAAATTCACTTTTTTGTATAAGAAATAAGATACCAATAATGTAAGGCATAGAAAAAACAACTATGCTAAATTAAATTGAAGTATATTTTCTTTTTTTTCCTGAGCTTTAGATCCTGTTATGCTGCTTAATCTTTATAGGAGCACATTAGTTTTTTTAATGTTTTGCAATTTTGGTTCTTGTGCTGGATTCCTTTTATTATAAGGATGTTGTGAAAACCAAAGAATAAGTGTTGAAAGTGATTTGGGAATTGCAGCACAGAATAAATGTTCAAAATGTTCCAGGATGCTGGTGCTAACTGGTCCTTGACATTCTATTCCACTCAAATGGAATTAATGTGCAGGGAAGTGCACAATCTCATATTTAACTAATGTGAACTAAGATTTCTCTGAGTGAGTAGAGTTCTTGAATGTATTTTACTTTTGCTTGGAACAAACCCCAGACTACTGAGGCTCTTCTGAAAATATTTCTGGTTAATAATACCCATGAGTTGCAACCTGAATCCAGATTTAGATTCAAGATCCTGAATTAAATGAATACTAACGCCGAGGAAGTTAGAATTAAAAAGTGATTAATGTGGTTGGTGCCTTATTCTTTGTGGAAAAGATGACTTAAGTTTGCTAAAAGAAGGAAGGCATATTTGTCCCCATTCTGGAAATGGGGCATTTCATACACAATATCCCAAAGGCAAATGTCATTTGCAAACTAGTACACAATTCCTTACTGGTTTTGCACAGTTTATTTGTGGACTATAACAATTTCAAACCTAAACTGAAGTTACATTAAGCACATATTAATAAATTAGAGCTCTTGTCTATGTAACTCATATTTTAATTCCTTTTTTTCTATATATATATATATATATATTTTTTTTTTTTTGACAGGCAGAGTGGATAGTGAGAGAGACAGAGAGAAAGGTCTTCCTTTTGCCGTTGGTTCACCCTCCAATGGCCGCCACGGCTGGCACGCTGTGGCCGGCACACCACGCTGATGCGAAGGCAGGAGCCAGGTGCTTCTCCTGGTCTCCCATGGGGTGCAGGGCCCAAGCACTTGGGCCATCCTCCACTGCACTCCCTGGCCACAACAGAGAGCTGGCCTGCAAGAGGGGCAACCGGGACAGAATCCGGTGCCATGACCGGGACTAGAACCCGGTGTGCCAGCACCGCAAGGCGGAGGATTAGCCTAGTGAGCCGCGGCGCTGGCCCTCTATATGTTTTTTGTTCTGAGGTTTATAAGTCTCCATATGAAATGATGTTTCCATGTTTTAATCTTTATCACTGAATTAGATGGATTCATTAGGGTATAGTTGACCACTGAATATCTGAATATGCAGAATATACTTTGAAATTCTGCAGAAAGGTCATTTAGTATGTTTTTTTTTAACTTTTATTTAATGAATATAAATTTCCAAAGTACGGCTTATGGATTACAATGGCTTCCCCCCCATAACGTCCCTCCCACCCACAACCCTCCCCTTTCCCACTCCTTCTCCCCTTCCATTCACATCAAGATTCATTTTCGATTCTCTTCCCTTCCATTCACATCAAGATTCATTTTCGATGCTCTTTATATACAGAAGATCAGCTTAGTATACATCAAGTATGGATTTCAACAGTTTGCTCCCACACAGAAACATAAAGTGAAAAATAATAGATGATTTTTTAAATGATGATGAAATCAGATCAGACCTATTGTCATGTTTACTCCCAGTGAGAGTCAAGTTGAGAGTTGATAATTTCTTCTTTTTTTTTTTGTACAGAAGATCAGTTTAGTATACATTAAGTAAAGATTTCAACAGTTTGCACCCCCATAGAAACACAAAGTGAAATATACTGTTTGAGAACTCGTTATAGCATTAAGTCTCAATGCACAGCACATTAAGGACAGAGATCCTACATGAGGAGCAAGTGCACAGTGACTCCTGTTGTTGACTTTACAAATTGACACTCCTGTTTATGGCATCAGTAATCTCCCTATGCACCAGTCATGAGTTTCCAAGGCTATGGAAGCCCCTTAAGTTCTCCGACTCTTATCTTGTTTAGACAAGGTCATAGTCAAAGTGGAGGTTCTCTCCTCCCTTCAGAGAAAGGTACCTCCTTCTTTGAAGACCTGTTCTTTCCACTGGGATCTCTCTCACAGAGATCTTTCATTTAGGTGTTTTGTTTTGTTTTGTTTTGTTTTTTTGCCAGAGTGTCTTGGCTTTCCATGCCTGAAATACTCTCATGGGCTTTTCAGCCAGATCGGAATGCCTTTAGGGCTAATTCTGAGGCCAGAGTGCTGCTTAGGACATCTGCCATTCTATGAGTCTGCTGAGTATCTCACATCCCATGTTGGATCACTCTCCCCTTTATTTATTCTATCGGTTAGTGTTAGCAGGTACTAGACTTGTTTATGTGCTCCCTTTGACTCTTAGTCCTTTCATTATGATCAATTGTGAACTGAAATTGATCACTTGGAATAGTGAGATGGCATTGGTACATGCCACCTTGATGGGATTAAATTGGAGTCCCCTGGTATGTTTCTAACTCTGGATTTCCACGTGCAGAAGCATGAAGCAAGACCCCTACCTTACACCTTACACAAAAATCCACTCAACATGGATTAAAGACCTAAATCTATGACCTGACACCATCAAGTTACTAGAGAACATTGGAGAAACCCTTCAAGATATTGGCACAGGCAAACAATTTCTGGAAAAGACCCGGGAGGCACAGGCAGTCGAAGCCAAAATCAACTATTGGGATTACATCAAATTGAGAAGTTTCTGTACTGCAAAAGAAACAGTCAGGAGAGTGAAGGGACAACCGACAGAATGGGAAAAAATATTTGCAAACTATGCAACAGATAAAGGGTTAATAACCAGAATCTACAAAGAGATCAAGAAACTCCACAACAACCAAACAAACAACCCAATTAAGAGATGGGCCAAGGACCTCAATAGACATTTTTCAAAAGAGGAAAGCCAAATGGCCAACAGGCACATGAAAAAATGTTCAAGGTCATTAGCAATCAGGGAAATGCAAATCAAAACCACAATGAGGTTTCACCTCACCCCGGTTAGAATGGCTCACATGCAGAAATCTACCAACAACAGATGCTGGCGAGGATGTGGGGAAAAAGGGACACTAACCCACTGTTGGTGGGAATGCAAACTGGTTAAGCCTCTATGGAAGTCAGTCTGGAGATTCCTCAGAAACCTGAAGATAACCCTACCGTTCGACCCAGCCATCCCACTCCTTGGAATTTACCCAAAGGAATTTAAATTGGCAAACAAAAAAGCTGTCTGCACATTAATGTTTATTGCAGCTCAATTCACAATAGCTAAGACCTGGAACCAACCTAAATGCCCATCAACGGTAGACTGGATAAAGAAATTATGGGATATGTACTCTTTAGAATACTATACCGCAGTAAGAAACAATGAAATCCAGTCATTTGCAACAAAATGGAGGAATCTGGAACACATCATGCTGAGTGAAGTAAGCCAGTCCCAAAGGGACAAATACCATATGTTCGCCCTGATCGGTGACAACTGACTGAACACCAAAAAGGAAACCTGTTGAAGTGAAATGGACACTATGAGAAACGGTGACTTGATCAGCATAGCCCTGACTGTTAATGAACAACTTAATACATTATCCCTCTTGGTAGTTTTTTTGTCTGTTCTACTTAATATGACTGGTTTAATTCTGTAATTAATACACAGTTATTCTTAAGTGTTGAAATTTAACTGAAATGTGATCCCTGTTAAACGTAAGAGTGGGGATAAGAGAGGGAAGAGATGTATAATTTGGGACATGCTCAAGCTGACTTGCCCCAAATGGTAGAGTTAGAAACATTTAGTATGTTTTAACACTGTTTTCTTTCCATTGTTTCAGCAGCCACTAAAAAGGATGAAAAGAAGGAAGGTATGTTTTGTATAAAATCCCATTGTATCTGCTATGAGAACAGTTTATCAATATTCAGACTTAGGTTTTCACTGATTTCCTTCCCATATATCTTTGCATAACTGATCTACTAGGCACAAAATATTTCCATGAATGTGATTTTTGTACCTTAGCTCACACAAAAGACTGAGCTACTTTTTAAAAAGTAACTTTAATCTGGTCTTTCTTAAGAGTACATTTGAAAAGATAGCTCTTCGAAATCTTAGATCATTACTTCGTTGGAAATCTTATCAAATTTCAAAAATACAGAAAGTGTAGACTCCTTTTTTCTGTATTAAATCCATGTATCTATGACACAAACAACTGATATTCCTTTGCTTTCTTATGCTAAAATATGTTATAGTCCCTTCACTATGTACCAGCTCCTTTTTGCTGGATGCCATGATAAAGAAAGTGGAATATACTTTTCTTTCGTCTAGGAGAATTTGTACTGGATTGTATTAAACAGCAGAGAAGGTCTTATTTAAGTCTTTTGCAATAGGGGTCAAGATGATAGAAACTGAGCTGAACTCTGCTGAAACTAAAAGTCAGGAAATTTGTAAGCACTGGGGTAAGCTAGAAGAAAACTGGAAGATTGTCAGCTGAGGGCTGTAAATGGGATTAGTCCATCTATATTTCCTAATTGGCATTTATCAAAGCTCAGCTCCTACCTTCCCTCTGAGACTATGAGATAGGGGTGCTATATTCTTTGATGATGACATTTCAAAGGAATAGCTCCCAGGTCACTGTGAAAGACATTTCTTGGGTGCAGAAGTTTTATATCTCAAAGAGGCAGGAAACAAATTTTCAATTGCAAGCATTCTAAAGTTAAGCACTCTAAAAAAGAAGACTAGAGACCTATTGTCAGAAAGAAACTTACCTAAAGTTCAGTTAAGCTAAGGGGAATGTTAAGGCTGTCTTGGCCACTGTGATTGTTTGCACATATATTTCCTTTAATACACACTTGGACCATGCTTGCACATGATCACCACCACTGTTTATTAATGGAGGCATATATTCTTAATAAAATATAGAATATCATTGTAAGAAATAATTTCTAATTTGGAAAAAGCCTTTATAATTAGTGTTTATATATATGCTCTGAAAATAAGACCAGAAAACGCATGTGATTTTTACATTTTCTATCAATGAAATTTTACAGAATTATAGTAGTTTGAGTCACGCTCTGCTTTTGTTAAATAGGATGCTAAGAGTATAACTGAGGGGACTTCAAAAAGTTCATGGAAAGATGGATTGAAATTAACTTTACATTGTGAAATTCTTTGAAATCCATGCATTGTTTTCTCATAATAGGAATTTCCATGAATTTTTGGAACATTTCTTGTATGCATGTATTTATAAATGTTTTTCACCTAAATAAATTATTCTTTTAATATCAATTTCAAGAACTTTTTGAAGTACCGTCATACAAGGAAGTAACTTCTTACAAGGAAGGGAGAAAATATGTGAGTTAGTTCTTATTTGTAAAGAGAGGTCAATATCATAGTATTGTAATGAAGACAACTGGGACACACTAATGTATTACTTATCAAGAAATTACAATCAATGTTCATTTCTCACATACACACAAGTTTTTACAGTATGCCTTAGAAATTACATCATTTATGTTATTAGTACTTTGGTGAGAAGAAAGAGGCATTATAAGATTAAGAAGGTACTAAATACCTGATCGAGTTTTTTTGTCAGACATTATGCCCTTCAACATGCTCATTTTTTTTCTACTATCACTTCTTATGAATAAAGAACTGTTTTACCAACTGATGTAGGTAAAGGGATAATATGAATAGTTATTGGCATTCAAACTAAAGTACTAAAATTTTCTAGGATATATGAAAGAGCAGCCAAATAACAATCTCATAGTCTTAAGCTTTCTATATATTTCTCCTCTCAATCACATCTCAATTAATTTTTGAGAAATTGTCCATTATCAACATGAAATATTAGGAAGCAATCAGGTAGAGCTTTACCCATGAAGAGACAAGTGATCTCGTGTTCATGTCCATCTGTAAAACTCATAAAGCACTATTATTGTAGACACCAAGACTGAAATCCTGGTGTAAGCTTCATTTTACACCTTTTCTTTTGCCTCTGCTATTTAGTCTCCTAAATTTTCAGTTTGAACTCTCTTTTGTTTAATTATCACCAAAATATCTAGAAAAACTACTATTCATTCATGGCCTCCAGTCCTCTGGTTAAGATATACCATTGCCGTTTATGATCTCACATTATTCTTACTTCTTATGTAACCCAGGGCACTGAGCCAATGGATTCAAGCACTCCATTGGGTACCTGAGACCTTTGTAATGGCTAGGCAAAGTGAAATGTATTTTTGTAAAAATGACAAAGACATTATTTGCCTTCTTCATTCTTACTCTTACATAAGTGTTCATTGGAGTTTCGCAGAGACTAAATGATGTTACAGCTAAGTGATACTGCAACGAAGTGAATACCAAGGTAGAGCTGCAGATCCAACTGTCTTCTTAGTAAAGCAGACATTAATGAGATTTATAAAAGTGTACAAGAAAGGCACCAATCTCACCATTTTTTCATTTTTCTTAATAAGAGACAAAATTTGTTTACTAAAAAAGGAGGGAATTTATTGAGAAGATGTAACCATTTTTCTTTTTTTTAAATTTTATTTTTTATTTTTTTAAACTTTTATTTAATGAATATAAATTTCCAAAGTACGGCTTATGGATTACAATGGCTTCCCCCCCATACTGTCCCTCCCACCCACAACCCTCCCCTTTCCCACTCCCTCTCCCCTTCCATTCACATCAAGATTCATTTTCGATTATCTTAATATATAGAAGATCAGCTTAGTATACATTAAGTAAGGATTTCCACAGTTTGCTCCCACACAGAAACATAAAGTGAAAAATAATAGATGATTTTTTTTAAATGATGATGAAATCAGATCAGACCTATTGTCATGTTTAATCCCAGTGAGAGTCAAGTTGGGAGTTGATAATTTCTTTCTTTCTTTTTTTTTTTTTTTTTTTTTTTTTTTTACAGAGGATCAGTTTAGTATACATTAAGTAAAGATTTCAACAGTTTGCACCCCCATAGAAACACAAAGTGAAATATACTGTTTGAGTACTCGTTATAGCATTAAGTCTCAATGCACAGCACATTAAGGACAGAGATCCTACATGAGGAGTAAGTGCACAGTGACTCCTGTTGACTTTACCAATTGACACTCCTGTCTATGGCATCAGTAATCTCCCTATGCTCCAGTCATGAGTTTCCAAGGCTATGGAAGCTCTCTGAGTTCTCCGATTCTTATCTTGTTTAGACAAGGTCATAGTCAAAGTGGAGGTTCTCTCCTCCCTTCAGAGAAAGGTACCTCCTTCTTTGAAGACCTGTTCTTTCCACTGGGATCTCACTCACAGAGATCTTTTGCCAGAGTGTCTTGGCTTTCCATGCCTGAAATACTCTCATGGGCTTTTCAGCCAGATCCGAATGCCTTTAGGGCTGATTCTGAGGCCAGAGTGCTATTTAGGACATCTGCCATTCTATGAGTCTGCTGAGTATCTCACTTCCCATGTTGAATCACTCTCCCCTTTATTTATTCTATCGGTTAGTGTTAGCAGGTACTAGACTTGTTTATGTGCTCCCTTTGACTCTTAGTCCTTTCATTATGATCAATTGTGAACTGAAATTGATCACTTGGAATAGTGAGATGGCATTGGTACATGCCACCTTGATGCGATTAAATTGGAATCCCCTGGTATGTTTCTAACTCTACCATTTGGGGCAAGTCAGCTTGAGCATGTCCCAAATTATACATCTCTTCCCTCTCTTATTCCCACTCTTATGTTTAACAGGGATCACATTTCAGTTAATTTTCAACACTTAAGAATAACTGTGTGTTAATTACAGAATTAAACCAGTCATATTAAGTAGAACAGACAAAAAAACTACTAAGAGGGATAATGTATTAAGTTGTTCATTAACAGTCAGGGCTATGCTGATCAAGTCACCATTTCCCATAGTGTCCATTTCACTTCAACAGGTTTCCTTTTTCAATACATGTACATCTCACATTGGAGCACTTACATTTATAAAGCAAATATCACTGGACATCAAGAAAGAAATACATAGTAATGCAATAATAGTAGGGAACTCCAGTATTTGTCATACATAAAATATGTATTTTAACATGTAACAAGTTTATTAAATAATACACATTTTAAAGATTTCCTCAGCTTTAATTTTCAAATCATAAAGACATAGAAATAAAAGCTAGTTGGTATCCTTAATTATAGTTAAGAGTTTAAAGGAGTCCTGAGATGAAAATTACTGAGAATCTTTGACAATAAAATTATAGTCCTGGTTATATTATTTCTTGAGAATATTCAACTGCCTTCATTAAACTTTTCATGTCATTGACTACCTAAAATATTAAACAGCTGCACACTGACCACACTGTTTACTCTGCAGGGATTGACCTTCAATTAAATTTCCCATATTTCTGTTTCTGACTTGCCTTTTCTGACCTCCTGTCAAACATACATGAAGGCAAGGTCAGGACCAAGGCCTAAAACATTCCATGAGTTTAGATTCAACAAGTGTTTTGGAGATTGAGACAAATGTATTACCTTCATAGACAGCAAAAATAAGAGTAGCCAAAGGTGCTGGTTTTCTATATTTCTTGTCCCATCTGTCCTAAAGGATGATATCAGAACTAAAGTGGTCAGATAACAATACGAGACAAGTTTGGGACATCTTGTTATTAAGTCAATTCTAGATTATAGTGAAATGATTTTGTGGTCTGCAGCTCTATTCCAGAAAGCTCTAGCAAAGAGAATTTAGGATGTGATAAGAAATGATCTCTCTCTCTCTCTCTCTAACATTTATTTATTATTTGAAAGGCAGATTTACAGAGAGGCAGAGGCATAGGCAAAAGAGAGAGAGAGAGAGAGAGAGAGAGAGAGAGAGAGAGAATCTTCCATCTGCTG